GGCGGCTCCCCCAGGGATACGGGACGCACCTGATGAACCACCTGAAGGAGTACCACATAAAGCACAACATTCTCTACTTCCTAACCTACGCGGACGAGTATGCCATCGGCTACTTCAAGAAGCAGGTGGGTTCCTTCCCCTGGGGCGGCTCCCCTTGGCCCTCCTGCCCACGAACCCCCTCCCGCCTGCCCTCTCCCTCCTAGGGCTTTTCCAAGGACATCAAGGTCCCCAAGAGCCGCTACCTGGGCTACATCAAGGACTATGAGGGGGCGACCCTGATGGAGTGTGAGCTGAACCCCCGCATCCCCTACACCGAGCTCTCCCACATCATCAAGAAGCAGAAGGAGGTACCTCCCGCAGGCAGGCGGCGCAAGGCTCTGCCTGCTCTGGCCCCTGCCAGCTGCCTCCTGAAGGCAGGGGAGAGGTGTGGGGATGTATCAGCCCTTGGGAACTGTCCCTTGAATCTCCCCTGGGAGCAGGCTTGTGGGGCAGACATGGGGCACTGTGGTGGCATTTACAGTGGCCGGGGTTGGCTCTGGCCCTGGGCAGTGGGTGCAGCCGGTGGTCTGGGCCTGTGGGGTCCCACGTCATGGTTTGGGTCCCCTGAGCATCCTGCAGTCCCTGCTCACCTCCCCGCTTCCAACCCACCCTTCCCACTGCAGATCATCAAGAAGCTGATTGAGAGGAAGCAAGCACAGATCCGCAAGGTCTACCCTGGCCTGACCTGCTTCAAGGAGGGCGTGCGGCAGATCCCCATCGAGAGCGTCCCCGGCATCAGTGAGTCCTGCCAGCTTCTGGCGGGGAAGGGCTGTCTGGCAGGAGGTCTCTGTCCTCCCTCGCCCATGGGCATGGGGCAGATGTGGTGACATTGACCCTTGATTTCCAGGAGAAACGGGATGGAAACCGCTGGGGAAGGAGAAGGGGTGAGTGCTGCGCAGGAGGGGTGGGTGTCCTGCAGCAGCTGGGCTGCGGGGGCTCGGCTCAGGCTGCTCCTTGCTCTGGCGCTGGGATGGGGAGGTGGGAGTAGTGGGATGGAGAGAGGCTGCCCACCCTTGGGTTGACAGGCGCTGGTTTTGTCCTGCAGAAAAGAGTTGAAGGATCCGGACCAGCTCTACAACACCCTGAAGAACCTCCTGGCCCAGATCAAGGTGCGGGCAGGAGGGGGACCCTCTGCTCCGGGGTGTCCATCCCCCTGACAGCCCTTGGAGCTGCCTCCCCTGGGACAGGCTGTCCTGGGCTGTGCCCTCAGGGGGCAGGTGGGGTGACCCAGGCACATGGGGAGCAGGACCCCTGTGTGCTGGGGCAGGCAGGGGCTGCCTGCGCTCGCTGGCTGCCTGCGCTCGCTGCTGTAACCTGCCCCCCGCCCTCTCCCCAGACCCACCCCAGCGCGTGGCCCTTCATGGAGCCGGTGAAGAAGTCGGAGGCACCGGACTACTACGAAATCATTCGCTTCCCCATCGGTAGGTGGTTGTGCCCAGACCCTGGGCGCAGGATGGTGGAGGGAGGGCTGCAGACCCCCTGTCTGCGGGGTCTGTGCTGGGGAGGGGGTCTCCTGGCTGGGGCAGTGGGGTGCTGGGAGCCCCAGGACAGCCCAGAAGAGAGAGGACCCTCGGTTGGTGTCCAGCTTCGTGGCTGGGGGGTGCAGAGGCCTGGGGGGGCCTGACCATTCCCCACCCCCAGACCTGAAGACCATGACCGAGCGCCTGAAGAACCGCTACTACGTCACCAAGAAGCTGTTCATCGCTGACCTGCAGCGCATCATCACCAACTGCCGCGAGTACAACCCGCCCGACAGCGATTACTGCAAGTGTGCCAACACCCTGGAGAAGTTCTTCTACTTCAAGCTCAAGGAGGGGGGGCTCATCGACAAGTAGGAGAGCTGGCCTGGATGCACCTTGGCCAGCGGCACCCCCCTGGGAGGGGCAGGGCTCTCCATGGGACCTGGCCCCGCTCTGTGGGCAGGGGCTTCTGGAGGGTTTTGTTGCTGCTGAGCAGCCTGGGGGAGCTGGGCCTTCCCTCGGGCTGGGGGGCGGTGAGGGGAGCAGGGGTGCCCGGTGCTTTTAACCCCAAGCTGTCGGCTGCCTCTCCGGGTGTGAGCAGCGGGGCTGGAGCCGCTTCATTGGGATCTGCCTGGGGCAGGGGCAGTGCTGAGTTCCTGCCTCTCCCTGGGGGCTGGGACCCCCCCCCACCCTGGCACCAGCACTACCCTCCTCCCCAGGGTTGTGCCTTCTGCCCCAGCTCTCCGCAACAGGGCAGGGGCACACAAGTGCTTTGGTTTTCTGCTTCCGTCCACGCACAGGCAGCCCCTGCCCCTCTTGTTGAATGTACGGCAGGGCTCAGCCCTGCCCGCCCCTGGCTGCAGGCAGAGATGCTGCTTTGTGGTCTAGGGTCCTGCTGTGAGGGGGTGCTCTGCCCCTGCACCCCCCAGCTTCTGCTGCCTCTATCAGCTCTTCCCTCCCCCTGGGGGCAGGTCTACCCCCAGCCCTGCCTCTGCCCCTGGCAGGGACCCAGCCCTCCCTGCCCCTGCAGCCCTCCCTGCCTGCTCCTGCTGCCAGCGGGGGCTGCCCCTTGCCTGGCCGGGAGTGGTGAGGGCTGGGCTGCCCTGGCTGCTGCTCTGGCTCCTGGGGCAGGGGGCCCCTGTTCTGCTGCAGCTACGAGCCAGCCTCTGCCCCTGGGTGTGGGGTCGACTCCTGCTCACCTCCCCCCTTGCTGCCCCCTCCTTGTGCCTCGCAGGCTGTGTTCCCCCCCATGCCTCCTTGGGCGCTGGGCTGGGGAGCACCCGACCCCAGCACTGACTTGTCCCTGACCCTCGCTTGGTTGCCTGCTGCCTTACCCCTCGTGCTGTCATCGCTGTGTGGGCACTGGTGATGCTCTGGGGCTCGCTGGCCTTGCCAGAGTGGGACCAGCCCCCTTCACCACATCCCTGCCACTCATTCCACTTGACTGTTGTTTTGGGGGTTTTTTTGTTTGTTTGTTTGTTTTTTTTAAAATAAATGTCCTTGTGCAGACCCAGCTGCATCCTTGTGTCTGGCCCCACAGTTGGCAGCCTGGGATGCTCAGGGGGGATTGTATTTGAGTTGGGGAGAGGGACAGGAGCAGCTCAGCGCGGGGAGGATGCAGACAGCCCCGGGGCCAGGCGGGGCTGCACGGACTGGTTGGGGTGCACTGGGCTGAACCGGGGTGCACTGGGCTGA